GAAATGGCGCGCAATCGTGCATCAAAAGATTGTGCGCAACTACGTGATTGTTATTGTCATATCCAGGGTATTCTCTCTCTCTCTCTCTCTCTCTCTATATATATATATATATATATATATATATATATCTTTCTCTCCAAATTAATCTTACATGCTAACCTTCTGTGTATTGCTCCAAATCAGGAGCAGATGTCCCCACCAATAGAATGGAGCTATTTATTAAAAAAAAAAAAAAGAAAAAAAAAAGGGCGCCGATCCTAGACACTATCCCAGCGATTCACACATGTTTCGTTCTCTCTCTCTATACTACTATACCTGACAGCTCTCTCTCTCTCTCTCTTTCTCTCTCTCTCTCGCTGTGTGTGTCTCACTGTATGTGGCGCCCAATTGCGACGCTGACGCTGAGTTGGCCAATTGGCGCAGCAGTTACGTCACTGACGTGGCCATTGGTGTTGATGCGTGGCGCGTAGCAGTTGCCATACTGACGTGGTGAATTGGCGCAAGGGATCTACAAGGCATGCGTAAGCGGATAACACTGATGTGGCATGCATGCTCTCTCTCTCTCTCTCTATCTATCTATCTATCTATCTATCTATCTATCTATCTATCTATCTATCTATCTATCTATCTCACGAATCTCTCTCTCTCTCTCTCTCTTTTCTCTCTCTCTCTCTCTCWCTCTCTCTCTCTCTCTCTCTCTCTCTCTCTCTCTCTCTCTCTCTCTATGTATGTATGTATGTATCTCTCTCTCTTTCTCTCCCTCTTTGTCTGTGTCTTTGAAGGGCTTTCGTCATTGTGCTTGGTGGCCACCCATTTCTTCTCGATCCGCCTGCTCATGTCGAGAGCTAGCCAAGACGCTTGCTCCACTTCGGAAGGAGAAAGGCTTCGTGCCATGTCTCTTTCCCTCACCGCCTCTTTGGCCCTCTTCTTCAAGCTCCCTCGGATTCTCTCTCTCCTTTGCAAGTACTTCTCCGCCTCCATATCCCGTTCTCTATCCTTCTCCTCTTCAAGTCTTTGTCTCTCTTCTTCCTCCATAGCCGCCTGGATATCCTAGGCATACCTCAATTGCCACCAGTACCTCCCACCTGTGCATTTCGCACCATCAACAACATCCCTGCCTCGATTGAAAGGTTCCTGTCAGGCCACCTTATACTGAAAAGGTTTATGGGCTCGCCTTGCCCAACCCTTCTCTTCGTGCGTGAGGTCGAGCTACCACCATGGACCCTGTTGACGTATTAAGCCACAGAGAGAGAGAGAGAGAGAGAGAGAGAGAGAGAGAGAGAGAGAGAGAGAGAGAGAGAGAGAGAGAGAGAGAGAGACGAATAGTTGATTGCGGAGTAGAAGAAGTAGACGAAGGAATCCGTCATTCACACTATGGATGACATGATGCCATGCAGCTCACCACATCATTGATGGTGTGGTGCCATGCAACTGCTGTCTATTTATAGGTAATAAACAGTTGACGTTGACCTTGACCTGGGCCCGGGTCTGATGGCAGTTGAAGCAACATGGACCTGGGCCCGGGCTTTTAAAAAAAAAAAAAAAAAAAAAAAAGATGGCAGACAAGCAGAAATAAAGACAGAGACACATGCAGGCAGGCAAACCGGCAGGCAGGCAAACAACAGGTCAGCAGGCAGGCAGACAAACAGCAGACGAACACGCAGGCAGGCATGAAAGACAGGCAGGCAGGCACACAGACAGGCAACCAGTCAAGCAGAGAGGCTGACAGACAGACAGACAGACATAGAGACAAACAGACAGACAAACTGTTTGTTTGTTAGTCAGTCATTCAAGGGTCTACGCCAAGGGGTAGGACCTCGGCCAAGGGGTTAAAAAAAAAAAAAAAAAAAAGGGCAGACAAGGAGAAAGGCAAACAGAGACATATGCAGGCAGTCAGCCAGAGACACATGTGGACAGAGACACATGTGGACAGAGACACATACAGACAGAGACACATGGAGTCAGAGACACATGAAGCCCGGTTGACGTGAGTGTTTACCTGGCCTTATACGGGGTCTGTATGTTGGTATTGTTCTTAAGCCAAGGCGTCAACCCGTATAGTCTGTCTTTCTGTCCGCCTGTCTCTTTGTCTGTCTGTCTGTCAGTCGGTCTGTTTGATTGTCTGTCTGCCTGTTTGTCTGAGTGCCTCTTGACGTGAGTGTGGCACGCAAGCGGATAACGCTGATGTGGCACGCATGCTCTCTCTCTCTCTCTTCTTCTTCTTCTTCTTCTTCTTCGTCTTCAAGTTGTTCCCCCTTCGCCAGCTCAATCTCTCTCTCTCTCCCTCTCTCTCTCTCTCTCTCTCGCTCTCTCTCTCTGTCTCTCTCTCTCACGAATCTCTCACGAATCTCTCACGAATCTCT